TTGAGGTCCCAATTTCAAATAGGGTTAACCTGTTTGCTGGGATTCTCAACCAAGTGGCTAACTACTAACTTGGCGCATCCAAGCAGCCAAACCCGAAAGGACACCTACGGTGTCCATATACTCGTTGGGTGTGTCTCAGCTGAGGGAATCGCAACGCAGTACCCTGAAAAAGACGGTCAATTTGTCCTCTAAGGTTCTGAGGGCTTGTTTGCAATCCACTGCAAGGGTTCAAGTTACAGGAGCGCAGCGCTTCGACACTGGGGCATTGCCTCTTTTCAAAATCGTTTCAGTTTGAAGACATCCAGTCTTCGCTTGAGGGCTTTGCAAACTCAGGGCCAAGTTTGTGGAAACAAGCTAGCCAGTCTTTTGCATCGCTCGGGCGGCTATTTGGAGAAGACAGGCTTGCAAAGTTAAGAGTTGAGCTTGAAACTCTGCAAACCAAGAGCTGAGGTTGGACAATTTTCAGCTGACTTCGAAATCGGCTCGCCCATGGCGCCATGTGAAGAACAGTGGTTGATTCTTGGAGACCCTGTAAAATGGCATGATTCTGAGTATCAGGGGCATGAGCGCGCCGCAAGCACCCGGAACAGCGGCTGAATACAGGCCAGCACGGGCAATCCCTGTTAGCCACCTACGAGCGAATGGGAAGCCATTCCTGAACCATGTAGTGATTAAACCCCTGATTAACTCCGCATGAATTGCAGGGGCTCGCTGAAAAAAATCCCCTGTACACACAGACACTGCTAAAATTCGGGGGGATGAATCTGGGATCAACATGGACGTTGCCACAAACTTCAGCGAGCCTACTGATGGTCGGTTGGCTCTCATGGTAGAGTAAGACCACCCAACATGGGGGTCTCTATTTGTAGCAGCCAAGACTGGGCTGCCCTCAGATCCCCCGCTAAAAGTTTACTTTTAGTGGGTTAAATGGAAACTACCACTAAACACTAAAAAGCTAAGGGGATGGCTGGGAGCCACCATGAATATGTACGTCAGCTGGCCTTGGATTTGGGCGAGCCCTCCATGCCACCGCCCGACTGCGAGGTTCCGAGGCATGAGCGCGTCGTCTTTGGAGCCGGCCTGCCGGGCAAAACTGTGCAAACGTTGGGAAGTCCAAAAGGGGGCTGGACTGCAATAAGCCGATAAGCATGGCAGCATGACCATTTGCGGATAAGTATAGAAATGCAAAAGCAAGGAATTCACCACGAGCAGCGCCGTAGTTTAACCCATTTTTTTACGCGCTACATAGGATGTCTTGATGCGAAAGCAGCTGGGAGGCATCAAGAGGATGTGTGCCCCTTGGGCATGCCAAATGGTGCTGAAGTCAGTTCAGAGTGTGCCGCATGTGCCATCAAGGACTTAGCCCCCGATCGTTTTTTTTAGTATTGCTTAAACACATTAACATCAAACAAACAGATAACCAATTTAATAGCATTGTAAATCATTTAAGACAGAATGGGAATCTACAAGACTTGCTTCAAACAAAGAAACAACAACATGAAGAAAACAATGTTGATTTAGATTAAAATACAAGTAATACAGTAATACAAACTAGTAATAGTACATACTACCAGTAAAGCCGGCAAGCCGGGTGGCAGAAGTTTCAAAAATATAAAAACTATAGTTATCTTTCTCTTTCTTTTCTTGACTCTTTTTCTCCGTCATTCTTCCTTTCTTCCTTTCTTTGCCTTCCTTCCTCCCTTCTTTCCTTCTTTCTATCTGTCTTTTATTTCTTTCTTTCGTTTGCTTGTCTATCTATCTTTCTCTACCTATCTATACCTAACTACCTGTCTATCTAACTCTCGTGTTATCTATCTGCTATCTATCTATCTATCTATCTATCTATCTATCTATCTATCTATCTATCTATCTTCTCTATCTATCTCTCTATCTCTCTATCTATATATCTACCTATCTCTCTATCTCTCTATCTATCCATCTCTCTATATCCCTCTATCTCTGTCTCTCTCTTTCTCTATCTGTCTCTCTATCCCTCTTTCTTTCTATCTTTCTATCTCTCTATCTCTCTTTCTTTCTATCTCTTTATCTCTCTATCTCTTTCTCTATCTCTTTCTATCTATCTATCTATCTATCCATCTATCTCCCGCGTATCTATCTATCTATCTATCTATCTATCTACCTATCTATCTATCTATCTATCTATCTATCTGTCTATCTCTCTATCTCTATATCTCTCTGTCTACCTATCTATCCATCTCTCTATCGACCTCTCTCTCTACCGATCTATCTATCTATCTATCTACCTCTCTATCTATTTATCTATCTCTCTATCTGTCTGTTTATCGTTTATCTATTTGATTATTTATCTCTCTATCTATCTATCTATCTAGCTATCTATCTATCTCTTTTTCTTTCTATTTATATATCTCTCTATCTCTCTCTCTCTCTCTCTATCTATCTATCTATCTATCTATCTCTCTCTATCTATCTATCTATCTATCTATCTCTCTATCTCTTTATGTCTCTCTCTCTGTGTATTTATCTATCTATCTTGCTCTCTCTCTCTCTCTATCTATCTATCTATCTATCTATGTATCTATCTCTTTCTCTATCTCTTTCTATCTTGACTTCGCGTACTACTTTCGTACTTAAAAGTTGCGATTTTCAAGCCCCACTGCGAAAGTGGACTTCACGTACTACTTTCGTACTTAAAAGTTGCGATTTTCAAGCCCCAGCTGCGAAAGTGGACTTCACGTACTACTTTCGTACTTAAAAGTTGCGATTTTCGAGCCCCAGCTACGAAAGTGGACTTCGCGTACTACTTTCGTACTTAAAAGTTGCGATTTTCAAGCCCGGCTGCGAAAGTGGACTTCGCGCACTACTTTCGTACTTAAAAGTTGCGAGTTTCAAGCCCCAGCTGCGAAAGTTGACTTCGCCTACTACTTTCGCACTTAAAAGTTGCGATTTCTGAGCCCCGGCTGCGAAAGTGGACTTCGCGTACTACTTTCGTACTTAAAAGTTGCGATTTTCAAGCCCGGCTGCGAAAGTGGACTTCGCGCACTACTTTCGTACTTAAAAGTTGCGAGTTTCAAGCCCCAGCTGCGAAAGTTGACTTCGCTTACTACTTTCGCACTTAAAAGTTGCGATTTCTGAGCCCCGGCTGCGAAAGTTGACCTTGCAAAAGTGCTGCGCCTGCCACGAATTCTGCACTTGACCTCGCGAAAGTGCTGCACCTGCCACGAAATATGTACATTACCTTGTGAAAGTGCTGCGCCTGCCACGAAATATGCGCGTGACCATGCGGAAATGCTGCCCCTGCCACGAAATATGTACTTGACCCTGCGACAATGACGCCCCTGCCACGAAATCTGTTCCTGACCTCGCGAAAATGCTGCCCCTGCCACGAAATCTGCATGCGCCGCCTTGCGCGTCCGTGCCAATGGGATTTGCGATGCGTCCGTGCCAGAAGTAAGAAAATGCCGCGCCTGTCACGAAATCTGCACTTGACCTTGCGAAAGTGATGCACCTGCCACGAAATCTGTACCCGACCTTGCCCAAATGCTGCGCCTGCCACGAAATTTGAACCTTGCGAAAGTGTGCGCGTCCGTGCCAATGGTCCCGGCGCGAGCCCGTCCCGAGCCCGTCCCGAGCCCGTCCCGAGATCGTCTCCGTCAGACGCCGCGACCGGGGTAGCTTTCAGCCAGCCGGAGAAGCCAAAACCCGCAGAGGGTTGCACTTTTTGCAGATTTCTATTCCCCCGCCACACGTATACGCACGTTTTTTCTCGCATGCATTCATTCTTTCTTCATCTCATCTTTGCGCAGATCTACCTTTCAATTAGTTTCCGTAACTCGGAAGTTTCCTTCTAAACTTCCTTTGACAAAACAGATGTTGTATCAGAAATGAGTCCTGTTTCATTTGATTCAACAACAAATATACCTGACATGAGCAAGTGACACAAGCTGGACTCATGGGGCTCTGCAGAGATATCCCAGTCCTAGGCTCCAAGTTTCCCAGGTCAAAATGTGGCCGTGCCAAATGGCTGTGGCTCAAAAAAGTGGTACCAAAATGGCACCTTGGTAAATGGAACCTAAGCCTAAAACCCGCGGTTTGCCCCCAGCTCTTTAATTTTGAGCCATACCCAAATGGCTTGACCGGGATAGAAACATGGACCATTCAACCGGTCCATATCCTGGTTGAATTTTGACCCAAACCCAAATGAACAGAGCAACAGGGTGGTCTCCACAAAAAATGCGCCCTCCACGGCCTAGGGCCTCCACCCCGGCTTCGGTCTGCGAAAGCCCCTTTTTGATTGGTCTTAAAACTAGGTCCTCCAGTAGAGAGGTTAGAAGAAGGGCACCAACTTGTTTTTCAGGTTTGTCTGTTTTAGTAGGGGAACCCTTCCCCAAAACAGTCGGTAGACAAGGGCACCTAGCTGGGGGGCCTAGTTTACTTACCCAAGCAAATCAATGGATGCGGGTCAAAATAGGTACCCAAAGTGGAACCCTGGTAAATGGAAACCAAAAGAAACCAAAAGAAAACAACCCCCCCCCCCAAAAAAAAAACAAAAAGAGCAGCACCCGTTTAACTTGCGGGCCCTCAAGCTTCCCAGCCGGATCCTACCGGGACCAAGAAACAAAAACAAAACGCGCTGAGTCCGATGCCTCCAACGAGCCCGTGAACGTTAAGTGGGGATCACACCCCGACAGTCAAATTGTCCGGCTACACCTGAGCTAAAAAAAATCAGTCTCCCTGAGTCCAACAACCACAATGAACCAAGCAGAAAGACGGCAACACAATCTGCTTTCAGCTTATTGAATGCATGATGTACCGAACACCTGAACTTGCAACGGGCACGGCAACCAGGCAACGCCTGCCCTGCAAAGGCAAGTCCACAAGAACTTCGCTGCGTGTGTCGGATTAAGGTCAGGAAGACTGTGGACTCGATTCAACCAGGCTGACCATAAACGGAGATTTGCAGGGGTCACCCCCCTCCCCCGATTCTATTCTTCAAGGGCTGGAAGGGTGGACATATGCCGTCACTCCTGGTCCAATTTGATGCGGTCCAGCATGCCACTCTTCAACGTGTCCTGCAAGCCGCGGCTCTGGTCACAGGCATCGCTGGGCTCCAATGGTCATCACAGAAACCATGGAACAAGGCATGTGGATCAATATTCCCCTCGGCCCCCATATCACCAACTTTTGCCATGTGGGAAATATCACCTGTTTTCGTTTTTCGTTTTTGTTCCCGATGGTCATCCCATGTAGAGGACCTTTTGATCAACCCCCACATGCAAACATGTGACACATGCTCACGGTGTTTCAGGATGCTATCATAGTGCTTAAGCATACTAACCAACACAGCTGCAGACCATGCAGACCATGCACAACTAAACATGCAAGCACAATGGTGGAGGAATCGTGTTCATCAATAAACTTTAAAATGATCACGCCGCCACAGCAATAAACTTGGACAAGCATCAGGCCACCAGGCAACAGTGCAAGCCTCATCAAATCCAAGAGTAAGCCCGCAAACTGCCTAGTCTCGGCACGAGCCAGCCAGGCCAACCGAACTACCTGGCCAGCCAGCCATCCAGCCTGCCTCCTAGATGGTTAACTCAGCAATCAAACGACCCCAAGGGCTCCTCAAAGGACATCTTCACGCCCGAGGCCGCAGGCGGGAAGCGAAGCCTCGCTCGAAAAAATAAATAAAAATGCCCGAGACTCTAGCATCAGCAACTCGCTCGATATAGGATATGTTGCCTGAAGATGGATATGAGCCACTGATAGGGATTGAGTAGGGAGAAACCCCTATTTCCCAATTGTATTTTGGTGAGTGTGCCCAATGTCATCCAAACTCAAGTAGATGGCAGTAAATGTTCTCCAGAGCTCATATCCAGCGCCAAAAACAAGTCACACACACACACTGAAAACATCAGTACAATGTTGATGCTGAGCTTCATAAGCCAAGAGGTTGCCAATACAACGATCCGCTCATCATCATGTCTAAACGCATCAGGCCAATCGTGTTCCCATGCAATGATCATGAACTATTTGCCCAGTTTAATACCTGACGCAGTGGATCCATGTACTTGTATGTGAGTAACCAAGACAACCACCCTGTAAAACCCACAAGGGGAATAGCTGGTTACCTAAGGTGTGTCATTTACCCTGGCAGTTCTTTGCTGAAATAACATGCAACTTGCAACAATTCTGCGCGGGTGCTGATGTCCCGCATGAAATCCAGATCCAATTTTTTGCAGAGTTGGAGTCTCGGTTGCTTTCTGCTCCCCTGCTGAAGTGACTAACTTTTTGTGGTTTAATTCGGAAAACCCATTCGTTGGCAAAAAGTTAAAGTCCTGACATCCAAGCAAAATGCACCAATGGAGTGTTTCCAAGCGATGCTTGTTTTGACCAGCGGGGTCCCGCATTGGCGCTTGCCAAAGGAAAGTTTCACCGAACATGGCCAGGCATCAAGTCGAGAAAACTATGCTGCGTGCCCCAGAATGCCTCTCAAGAAGACAAACTGGAATGGGCTGCACAATGTCCCATGATTCCCAGGTCAACTTTTGGAGGAAAAAAGCGCACGCAACAACTTTGCAACAATTCCCGCCCGACTGAGACAATTGGCAAGCAGAGAGAAGGCACAAACAGGAATAGGGCGGGCATTCCGAGTAATGTCTAGCGAATTGGGCGACAGCTGGCATAAAAAGTGGCCAACACTCTTGGGTTGCGGTCGAATGCAGGTCGTAAAGGCTGTTCTCATGAGGCTCTCTTCTGAACCTAACACTAGGCAGTGAGATTACATGTTCCAAGACAGTGGGATCATGCGTGCACAACCCAGACGCTGCTAGCTGCCCCTCTGAGGACTGGGTGCTCCCGCCACCGCAGGAATTCCTCATATTGCACCACGCCGTCCCCGTTGATGTCCACGCTACTCACAGCGCGTGCACGTTTGCAAGGCAACATGGGTCAAGGCCAATTTGGACCATGGCAACGCTTTTGGTTTAGAATAGGGAAGCTAGATCCGCGGGTAGGTCACACGGAAAACAAACAAGTGGCGCGAAACAAGCAGTAGACCCCAGTTTAACCCTGGCGCAAGAGGAAAACAAGGTCAGAGGCTGGAGGCCGTTGTTTTGCAACAAAACCAAAGGCAGCAGATTCATAATCTGAAGACTAAAGATATCTGAAGATGGTCGGGGTCCAGCAGTTCCATTGCTATGTGCAGACAAGGGTTAGTTTTGAAGAAGTTTCCATCTGCTGTTTACTTGCAATTGTGTTGTTTCAGGAAACATGTGCACCGCAATGATCAATTTGGTAGAAACAGACACGTGCACAAAAAATGCACATGCCAAGAGGCAGTTCACATGTTAACTGTGTATATACTCATTGATTCCGTCGCCTAAGTTCAGCACACGTGGAAGCTGTGATGTGTCAAGATAATGGATCCTTCGGTTGGGTGGGGCTCAACAGCAACAAGCCAACTGACCGTTTGTATGGATCCCGCATTGCAGCACATTCTCCTATCGCAGGTCAGTCCAGCATCGGCAAGCTGTTGCTGCAGGCAATCATTTCAACTTGGGAAGCCCCACTTGAATGTTCCAAGAGAACAACCAGCAAAGCAACCAGTTTTGTTATTGGCCTCTCATTTTTACAATCCCAGCTCAAACTACTATCTTGGGGATACCCATCAGGCGGTGGGGGTAGCGGCATGGGATTCAAGGCACTCAATGTCCCAAGTCGCTACACATTTGGCTAGGTTCTTTTTTCATAGGCAACCACCTCAAAAGTGGTTTGTGGACATGAATCCCACCGAATTTGATGTCCACCATGCCGGGGCCCCAATGAAAAAACTATAAAAATTAAAGGCCCATTTCTGACACCAATCTGCAACATCATCCCAAACCCTCGATTGTCACGTTGACTGTACCTTAGGGGTCTCCAAGAGGAAAGGGGCAAAGCCCGCAGTGTGAGGACAGCAGCGTACTTCTGGGTGGTGAAAAGGGAGCAAGGACGCCAGCTTCACTTGTCTGCTTGAAAGGGAAACCAACATTCTAGTCCACATGCTTTGTTTAAAGGCTTGCCAAAGAGAGACTTTGAGAACCTTAATTAAAGGCTTGCCCACCAAAAAAGATTTTGAGAACCAAAAGTTGCAGATCTTGCTGGGGAACCCTTTGTGGGCAAACGGTGAGGGAAAAACCAGAAATAATCCCCAAATCCAGTTGAGGTCCCCCGATTTGCGTGTGTCTTTCAATACGCCACCCCCAAAAAGTCATGTCGGATTTCCCTTTGGTTCCTCCCAGAAAGGGAAATTAACCTCAAAGAGGGACGTCAGGCCTCTTCTTGCTCGTGCTCAGGGACTGAGAAATGGAATGACCACTACAAAACCCATCCATCCGATTTGGTTTCCTTTCTTCGGGAATCCCGTTGAACGGTCCTTCCAATTCTCATTCCCATCCATCCGAGTTGGTTTCCTTTCTTCGGGAATCCCGTTGAACGGTCCTTCCAATTCTCATTCTCATCCGAGTTGGTTTCCTTTCTTCGGGAATCCCGTTGAACGGTCCTTTTCCAATTCTCATTCCCATCCTTCAAATTTGGTGTCCTTTCTCCGGGAATCCCGTTCAACGGTTCCTTCCAATTCTCATTCCCATCCCCGATTTTACTCGGGAATCACCAGGTTCATTCCAACCTATTCCCTCCCGATTTCGCAGCGACCGCAAGTATCTTGACGAGCCAAAAGGGACGCCTGATCAACGTCTTCAGCTCTTCCTCATCCGCCTCAGGGCAGACCTGCCGATCCGATCCGATCGCCGATCGACCCGACCCCGATCCGACAGCGACCAAAAACACAACGTCGAAGGAGGGCTTTGCCACCATTGGGCCCGAGTTGTTTCTCCAAAGGGTCCAAATGGTTTTGACACGTTTCTTCAAAAGGTGTGATTACATCTTTTCTTTTGGACAAGTAAGTGGTCATGTTTACTTCACACTTTTGTTCGCCGGATCTGGTTGATCAATGTTGCTCAGCGTTGCTTCAGTGTTCTTCATTGATCGGTATTCAACCGGACTCACGAAAGGTTCCCGCGTTTAAGTTGCGTTCCAGTTCTCTCTATTTAATTGAAGGGGATACAAAAGGGTCCACCAAGGCATGAGATACCTATAGTACGCACCACCCCGCTAAAAGGAAACTCACTTTAGATTGGCCTGCGGTCAATGAATCCGTTGAGACGCCCCCGGCCGGTCGGCGTGAGGCCCGCAACAAAAGAACCCGGGCGGAGTCACGCCCAAAGGGAAAGACAAAAATACCGAGACAAAGCGCACTCAATGCGTCCTGCCGAGCTATCTGCGAATTCGCATAAGCCTACGGAAGTTGGTATATCTCACATCATCTGAAATTGAGTCCAATGCACTGGGCCGAAGTTGCAGCAAGGGCCCGGGTGACTGAACATGCACACTCTGGAAGCTGCCAAAATGCACTGCCCTGGTGACAGTTTCAATGGTCTCCTTTGGGTAAAGCATCTCAGTCCGTCGGGTCCATCCTCTGCGCATTTTGTTGCAACCATAATTGCGCAAAAACTGGCCCTGGCACTTAAGCTCATGTGGCGTAAGAAGCAAACCAAAAAGGCGTTTACACTGAAAGTCAATGGAGTCAAGTGTTCGCATGGCTTCCTCAAAGGCACAAGGAATCAACGCAACTTCTGCGGCCTGAGTTTCATGTCGGAAGACAACTCTAGCTGCTTTCCGCGAGACTTGGCGCGGGAAAGCAACTCCTGTCACCAAGATGAAATTTATCAGCAGCTCAACTGGCCATCGGAGCGTTTGGGCCCACTCAAGAAAAAGGCATGTAAAAGCACTTCCCCAAGGACAGCCTGACAGCTGGTCATCGTTTAGCACAGGAACATGGAGCTGAACCCCCCCACGCGGGTGCTATTCCAACAAGTTCGTTGGCGAACATGAATGTTTGGCATCGTTATTGGCTTGTGCTTTTCTTTTGTCGCAAGCATCCATTCTGGTCTTGTCAATCTCAATCGTCAAGTCAAGAAATTCGCCTCGCAGCCGTCTTTGTTGTTTGCATAAACCGAGGACTTCGCGCGCGCCTGCTGATGCAGCTTATTATTGTTATAACCGGCTGCATATTTTGCCGCAAAGTCCGCAGCAGTATTGCCAAGGATTGCATAATTGTCTAAGTCAGCATTGCAAGGACTTACCGTCTGGCGACCCTTGATCTTTAAGATTAAGAAATCAGCAGGGTCCTTGGTCCGGAAGATCTCACACAAATTGACGATTACGTCAAAATTTTCTGCCTTGAGGAAATCAATTTCATGCGGGCATTTTTGAATCGATACGACCAAGTCACGGGCGTACTTAGAATCTGTCACAATGATGGCAGTTTCACATGATCGGATTACTTGAGCTATTGCAACAAGCTCAGCACGGGCTACCGTCTGATTTCCATGTACAGTGGAGGATTGCACACAATGGAAGGTGTTGGGCACCCTGTATGTCTCACAGAAATGTCTGGAAGCAATGGCTCTGTCTGCATCATTTTCTGCAAGGTCCTCAACAATGGCCCACGCCGCAATGCTCCCAAACGGGGTGATGTTCAAAACCACCCGTCTCTTTCTTCGGACTGCACCCCACGTGTGAGTGCAGCCCGGGTCCGTCTTCGCGCGGCGCCCAAAGGCGCTCTTTGTGAAACCTCCGTCTAGTCCACTGTGACTCGACGGTATCCCCTTCTTGCAAAGGGATGTTCAAAACCACCAAAAGAGAAAACCTACAGACCCCCAGCTCCCCCCCCCCCTTGCCTTGTGCACCCGACTGTTTTGACGCACAGCCTGTCTGACCCGCACTCCTCGCATATAAAATCAAGTCCTAGATCATCCAATTATTCCAACAAGTCGTCTCCCTATGTATAGTATGAAAGCCCTGGCGAGATGATGCTCGGGTAGTTGTGCCATTTGTTCCCCCGAATGTCGTTTAGGACATAGGAAACTCTCGCTCCAAAAGCAAAAACGCTCGGTTGGTGTTCCGTTCCTTTTCGAATTTCCGACTCCCTTGGAGTCGAACCCAGAACTAAATGATTATCTCAGTTTCGATTCAAGTGCAGTCTTCCAAAGTTGATCCCATCTTCGACTCAAATGAAGCTTCTCAAAATGCTGGATCGCCCTTAGGTTCAAGGGAAGCTAAAGGAAACCCACCAGAGAAAACTGGCTCCCATTTGGCGGTGTCTTTCTCCCCCCATTTCTTTTTGCTTCCTTTAAACCAACCAAAAGGATTCCCCGGCGTCCATTTGCGAAACCGCCCCGGAAAAACATGAGATCATCATTCGAGCTGTTGCCAATTCGACTCCCTCTAGAACCCAACAAAAAACACACAAGCACAAAACCAACAATCACTTCAGCAAATTTTGACGCTGAAAACACACACACACACAAGAGAAAAACCGCGATCCACCCATACGCCGCGTCCATTCTACGCTCACACACGCAAAAAAAAAGAGCGTCCCCTCATGGGGGGGGGCGGGTTTTTGAAACCCACAAACGGCACCAGTTTCAACCCCACAAGAGAGAATTACGCGCATTGAGGCAGATAGAGATTCAATAGTATGTGGGCAATGCACTTTTAGTGCTAGGGACCTTGGATGTTTTGCCCAAATTTGCTTGTCTGTTTCAAGCAGGCTTCATCAGACCATTGGATCTTGAAAATTGGCCCAGAATTGCTTGTCGGTTGCAAGCTTACACTATCAGACAGTGTTGAAGAAAAGGCCACTCGCCGGAAGTGTCTTGTCTATTAGCAGTGTAGCTGCAATTGTCTTGGCATCTGTCTTGTCGTTCCTGTTGCAGTGTTTAGCAGTAGAACTGAACTAGAATTCAATAGAACCCTTTGTGCAAACACAAGTTGGTCGTTTCTTCTGAATTGCATGCCTCTTAAACGGAGAGACAAACCAATAGAAGCTCAAAGGACATGCAATGTCAGTTCTGGTGGTTTACAAGTTTTAGATTGCACCGCTTTAGGTTGAATCATATCTCGATTAGCCTTCAAGTTGACATAGTACGTTGAATTAGAATTCAAACAGGTGTCCCTTCCCAAGTAGGATTTTAGTTGGGAATCTAATAAGGAAAGAGAAACTTGTTGTTTCTTCTAATTTGCAATGCAAGCCTCTGAAAAGAGGCGAAAACCCATGGAAAAAACTGATTTCATGACAAGTTGCTTGCCAGGTTTACATTGCGAGGTTTTACTTACATTCACAATTGGATTCGATCAGACTTCACTTCATTTTCTTGAACTAGATATTAGTCCGCACTTCCCTTCGAAGCAGGGTTCCAATGCGAAGTTAATGGGGGGCTTGAATGTAACTGCTAGTTTTGGATTTGTAATGGGGTCTTATTTAATTGTGCTGTCAAGTAGAACTTAGTTATATATTTGTTTTAATTATAAATTTTAAGTAAATTGTAAACAGGAATTCCATCCAACTCTAAATGGGAATTTCTTTCCAAATATGATCTGTATTTGACACGTGTATAGCTAGAACCTAGTAAGGAAAGACAAGCTAGTAGTTTCTTCTATCTGATTCAATTATGGCTGCTGTTTTGAATCATAATTTAGCTGGGATTTCCGTTCCAAGTATGTGGAATTTGATTAAATTTTAGACATAGTTTGGATAATATAGTAAGGAAAGATAAGTCTTTCAGTTAATTTGAAAACTCGAGGGTTTTTTGGATTTTCTGGAAAAGTGTAAAAACAACTTGAGTGTTCAAAAAAAAAACAGACCCTATGTATCCATGCTGGCCGAGTTAGGGTATGTTTTTTTTTGAAAACTCGAGGGGGTTTTTTGAATTTGTTGGAAGCATCGAAGAAATATACACAAAAACTACCAAATCCCTGTGTTGCAAAAACCCACCCCCCATGAGGGGCCCTTCTGTAAAAAAACGAAATCCCAACCGCGCGGGGGCCCGTTGAAAACGGCGCCTCCTTGAGCACCGCCTGCAGCTTGCTGAAGTGCAAGGCGCCGTCGCCTTTTCGCTTTGCTTCCAGCCGGTTGATTGCTGCGGGGAGAAGGGCCGCCCCTTGTTGTTGTTCCTGGGTTGATTTGTTTTATTCATTTTGCTTTCGCTTTTCTTTTCTTCTTTTTTTTTTGGGGGGGGGGAGGGTGGGCACTTGTTTGGCTGGGGGTGGGGGAGGGTGGCCCCTTTTGCTGGCCAATTTGATTTGGCCCATTCTTTTCTGGAGGGTATCCTTGTTCGGTGTTGAAGGAAAACCAAAGAGGAGGGTTCCTATTTCAATACACACCCATTTGTTAGCTTCCATTTGGGGTAATGGTTGTGAAGACGAAGACCCTTTGGCTGAAGGGCAATGATTTCCGGGCCCTGGGAGTGACGTTCCGAGTCTTTTCTAGGTGTAGCTTCCCCATTCTTTTCAGGGATCCGAATCTTTCTAGAGAACCACCAAAAACCCTGAATGGCGATCGGCTTTTGAAAAGAACCATGGCTGAAAGTAACGGAAAAGGGATCAACCCCTAGATGTTTCTGCTAAGGGCAAAGGGCGCTGCGCCGCCTTCCCTGGCACGGGGAAGGGGCGACGCACTTGCGCTGGACCAAAAATCCCAGCGGCCACGTGCCTTTGACTTTCCGCGAGCAGCTGCAGTACAAGCGGCTAGCTGAATCCACGCGGCTGGCTGTGATCCCTAGCCACATTCAAACACATCCCAAGGGAAAACTCAATGAGACACGACCGCCACTTAGCAGCGGCGACCCCGGAGTACTCCACTGGACTATTGGAGGGGGTGTTTTTTTTCCACCTAACTAAAGAACAGATCTAAAGTGGGACATCCCACGATTCATCGAGGATTGATTCATCCTGGGTCCCCTCTATGTAACCCCCGGTGTCCTGAAACACGAAAAGGCGCCAAACCAAGCGCCAGGTCTCTGGTTGCCAGGGAAGCGGTGGGAATGAATCGGATAGGATCGGATCCCCTTCAAAGACTTCCATTTGCCTAAGACCCCTGGGAAAAAATATGAAAACAAATATTTCCAGTGGTGAAATCGATTCCCTAAAAAACAGCAAGTGTTTTTGTTAACATAACAAAACAAAAACGAAACATATTTCGGCCAATGGAAGAAGACACCCCAAGTATGGCTCACTTCGGGAACTCTCCGTTCCTTCCCGGAGCTTGGGCCTGGACTTGGGGATCATGGCTCTAGCCACATCTTTGGCATCCACCAAACCCTGAGGTTCTCAGACAAGGTGCACCCGTTGATGCCAAAAAACATGTGAGTGGACCCTTTGATTCACAAAAAAAAAACGTGGCTCCTGCAGGTCCCTCGTGTTTCTTCTCTCCCCGACTGGGCCGTTCCGCAACCCGCCGCCTTCAGTGTCCCACTGCCGGCAAAGCTCGTGTGCGCGCTGGGCCACCTGGCAAACGGCTTGCGTGATTGGACGGCTTTCCATGAAGCACGATGGATATATATATATATATATACATATATGTATATATGCGTATTATATATACATATATATATATACATTTGCTAATGTGTATCATGTGTATATATATATAGAGTATACAATGTGCCACCTCTCCCTCAATTGCGGTGCTAGTGCAGCTTTCTGCTGTTGTGAATGGCAGGCAGGGTCATATGAGCATTTGCAGATACTGCCGAGAGGTTCGGACAAGCAAATAGGACTGCCAATTCCGGGAAGTCGAACTCTAAATCCAGAGATCGCAAAGCAAACGTAAAAATGTTTGACTCCAAAATCCGAGTCTGGGGGCTAAGGCTTGGTTAGAACTAAGCCTAGGGGTCTTCTGGGGCATGGGCGCCAAAGCTGACCCTTGAGATGGTTTGGTCCCAGGGTTTGGGTAGTCGGAGTCCCTGAAGCTAGATCAAGTGAACTCCGCTATGTTGGATCAGGGGTCTACATCCAGGATTTAGATTAACTGCAAGATTTCGACAACAAATTCATTCCCGTTCCTGCTCAAATGCAGCGCAGTGCGCACTCAAAGACAGGGTTGAAGATCCGTTGCTCACAACCGCTGGCTGCGCTTTTCTGACTTTTCTGAGTGCTCGGTGGTCATGGGAGATGAAGATAGACTCATGCATGGGCAGGTAGCAGATTCTCCCAGACACTCCAAACGTGTTGCAAGATGCGTCAAGGACATTCAAGCCGTTGGAGTAACAAAGAATAGTGGCAAACCCAAGTGGCCCTGGGCAACAAATGACACCTTCTTTGGTACCTCCAAAAAAGAAGCAACAATGGTCGCTGGGAGTCTGAGTGGTGGCAGCCTAACACCAACTTGCATTTGATCACGCATTCCACAAGGGGTAGCACTTCCTCGTTCGCCTGCATAAAGATTTGCTTGATGTGGGGGAGTTTGGCCAGCTTCTTTTCTCCCCACCGACATGAAACCAGACTGGAGGCTGGAAGATTCAATTGGATACCATGCCAGGGTAGGGCGAAGCAACATGGAAGACATGACAAAGACAAGAAAGGCCCGTGCTGGCGCCTTCTGCCTAACTTCCCGGCTCATGTCAACTAGGGATCTCGGCATTCCGGCCAAGCTCATCCACAGAAATACCGGAAGTGCTGCTAGATGACCCATGCTTTGCCCCCAGAAGTACCCAGAGCTGATCATTTACCGAGGTAAATTGGGACCTTAGTTTAGGTTTTTCAGGAGAGTATAAGGGCATCCTTTTTTTCTGTAGGCGATTTTAGTAGGGGAACCCTCCCAACCAAAAACAGGGGCACTAAGGGCACCTAGCTGGACCTGGTTCTGCGAGTTGAGTCCCACCCCCCCCAACTCCTCCGTGTCCATGGCGAACCAGGCGAGATCAGGCGCTAAGCCGCCGCTTGTGCTTCTTGTCGTGTCCATCTATGACTCGTCCATTTTGACAAAAACAAAAGCAGATGCCTGCTCCAAAATCCATCCGTAAGAACGGCGTCAAGACGTTTTTTTCGGGCTTTGTGGATATGTTTTCTGGCACAGAGGTTCAGAGCCCGCAGACCTTCGAGCGCATTTCTTCTGCAAACTCCTGGGATTTGCCGAAAGAAGGCGAAAGGTGCGCGAGGCAACTCTAAACCTGGACTTAGACAACTCCACGCATAGGCTCAATGATCCAAGTCAACCCAGTGCATCCATTTGCCTGTATAGCAGGCAGCCAAGGGCTTGCCACCCATTAAACACCAGACGGAAAATCCGCCGACAACAGGCGGCGTGTTGGACATAAGAAATGCTCCTCTTTACCTATTACCCCTCCCCTAACAGCATTTCAGACCATTGCAGGGGGGGGGGGGGTCCTAAATCTGTTCATTGTGCGGGCTTGCGCAACTCAGTTTGTCAAAAACATTGGGGTGTTCGATTCCCCCCGGGTGCGCTTTCGCATCCTTAGCAGCTCCAGCGGCACATCGCCAGCACCACCTGCATCATCCGCATCGGCGCCTGCCAAGGATGCGGATGATGCAAGTGATGCTGGGGATGTTGCCTATGCTGGTGAACCCCCCCCCCCAGTTCCTTGTTGAGATCATTTATTTCCCCCCTTTTCCTTCTAAGGCCTTTTCCCACCCTCAGTTCTTCTCCCTTTTCCTCCCAAAGATCTTTCCTCCCTAAGTCCTTTTCCCTGAGTTCGTCTCCCTTTGCCTCCCTAAGATCTCTTCCCCCCTTTCCCGCTTAAGATCCTTGCCCCCTTTTCCCCCCTAAGGCCTTTTCCCCCCAAGATCTCCACCCTTCTCTTCCCAAAGTTGGTTTCTCTCTTTCCCGATTGAGATCCTGTCCCCCGATTGCCCCTTAGGGCCTGTTCCCCCCGAGAAAGATTTCCCTTTTCCTCCCAAAGATCTTTTCCCCCCTTTCCCCCTTAAGGCATTTTTTCCCCAGATCTTCTCCCTTTCCTCCCTGAGATCTTTCCCCCCCTTTCGCTGTTGAGATCCTTTCCCCCTTTCCCCCCTTCATTTCCAGATCTTAGGGAGGAAAGGCAGAAGATCTGGGGCAAAAAGGCCTTAGGGGGGAAAGGGGAGAAATGATCTCAACAGGGCAAGGGGTGGAAAAGATCTTCGGGAGGAAAGGGAGAAGATCTGGGGAAAAAAGGCCAACAGGGGGGAAAAGATCTTAGGAAGGAAAAGCGAGAAGCTCTCAGGGGGGGAAAGGCCTTGGGAGGGAAAGGGGGGAAAGGATCTCAACAGGGAAAGGGTGGGAAAGATCTTAGGGAGGAAAGGGGGGATCTAGGGAGGATCTTCCCCTTTCCTCCCTAAGATCTTCCCCCCCCCTGTTGAGATCCTTTCCCACCCTTTCCCTCCCAAGGCCTTTCCCCCCCCTGAGAGCTTCTCCCTGTTCCTTCCTAAGATCTTTTCCCCCCTTTCCCTGTTGGGCTTCCCCCCCTAAGTCCTTTTCTCCCAGATCTTCTCCCTTTCCTCCCTAAGATCTTCCCCCCCCCTTTCCTTCCTAAGATTGTTTCCCCCCTTTCCCTGTTGAGATCCTTCCCACCCTTTCCCCCTGAGGCCTTTCCCCCCCTGAGAGCTTCTCCTTCCTTAGATCTTTCCCCCCTGTCCCTGTTGGCCTTTTTTCCCCCAGATCTTCTCCCTTTCCTCCCTAAGATCTTTTCCACCCCTTTCCCTGTTGAGATCATTTCTCCCCTTTCCCCCCTAAGGCCTTTGCCCCCAGATCTTCTCCCTTTCCTCCCTAAGATCTTTCCCCCCCTTTCCCTGCTCAGATCCTTTCCCCCCTTTCCCCCCTAAGGCCTTTCCCCCCCTGAGATCTTCTCCCTTTTCCTCCCTAAGATCTTTTGCCATTTTTCCCTGTTGAGATCCATCCCCCCTTTCCCCCCTAAGGCCCTTTCTCCCTCTGAGTTTTTCCCTTTTCCTCCCCACGATGTTTTCCCCCCTCTCCCTGTTGAGATCCTTTCCCTCCTTTCCCCCCTAAGGCCTTTTTTCCCCCTGCGATCTTCCCCCTTTTCCTTCCTAAGATCTTTTCCCCCCTTTCCTTGTTGAGATCCTTTCCCGCCCTTTCCCCCCTAAGGCGTTTTCCCCCCCAAGATCTTCTCCCTTTTCCTCCCTAAGATCCTTTGCCCCCTTTCCCTGTTGAGATCCTTTCCCCCCTTTCCCCCCTAAGGCCTTCCCCCCCCTGAGATCTTCTCCCTTGTCCTCCCCAAGATCTTTTCCCCCGAGATCTTCTCCCTTTTCCTCCCTAGGATCTTCTCCCACCTTTCCCTGTTGAGCTCCTTTCCCCCTTTTCCCCCTAAGGCCTTTTCAGATCTTCTCCCTTTTCCTCCCTAAGATCCTTTGCCCCCTGTCCCTGTTGAGATCCTTTCCCCCTTTCCCCCCTAAGGCCTTTTCCCTGCCTGGGACCTTCTCCCTTTTTCACTGAGATCTTTCCCCCCCTTTCCCTGTTGAGATCCTTTCCCCTCTTTCCCCCCTACGGCCTTTCCCCCCGCTGAGATCTTCTTCCTATTCCTCCTTAAGATCCTTTGCCCCCTTTCCCTGTTGAGATCCTTTCCCCCCTTCCCTTTAAGGCCTTTCCAGATCTTCTCCCTTTCCTTCCTAAGATTGTTTCCCCCCTTTCCCTGTTGAGATCCTTCCCACCCTTTCCCCCCTCAGGCCTTTCCCCCCCCTGAGAGCTTCTCCCTTTTCCTTCCTTAGGTCTTTCCCCCCTTTCCCTGTTGGCCTTTTTTCTCCCAGATCTTCTCCCTTTCCGCCCTAAGATCTTTTCCACCCCTTTCCCTGTTGAGATCATTTCTCCCCTTTCCCCCCTAAGGCCTTTGTCCCCAGATCTTCTCCCTTTCCTCCCTAAGATCTTCCCCCCCCCCGCTGAGATCCTTTTCACCCTTTCCCCCCTAAGGCCTTTCCCCCCCCTGAGAGCTTCTCCCTTTTCCTTCCTAAATCTTTTCCCCCCTTTCCCTGTTGGGCTTTCCCCCCTAAGTCCTTTTCTCCCAGATCTTCTCCCTGAAAGGGAGACGATCTGGGAGATCTTAGGGAGGCAAAGGGAGAAGATCTCAGGGGGGAAAAGGCCTTAGGGGGGAAAGGGGGGAAAGGATCTCAACAGGGAGAGGGGTGAAAACATCTTAGGGAGGAAAAGGGAAAAAAACAGAGGGAGAAAAGGCCTTCGGGCGGAAAGGGGGAATGGATCTCAACAAAGAAAGGGGGGCAAAAATCTCAGAGGGGAAGGGGGCAAGGGGACAATTCCAAAGGGACGCAAATAAGAAAGCAGGCCTGTAATGTCGGCGGCCTGAGCCGGAGGCACTAAAATATCGAAGGGTGACCTACTATACGATCGACTGGGGGCCACCCCTCAACAAAAAGAGACTCATCTTCTTGCTGGTGCTCAGTAGGGTGACCTTCCAGGTGGGATTGAAGGAAAACAGCATTGTCTACCAATCTGAGAGCTTGCCTGGGATCCACCAGGGAAGGTTCAGGTGGATCTGGCGAGGTTTGACTGTCATTGGTCGCAACCCGTGGTGCACAGAACCAAACCGCACAGCGAAACGCTCCCGAGCAGTTCAAACAGTCTGCTGTTAACTGATACACTGACCATGACCAGCTTCCTCAAGTGTTCCGAACACACATAGTATCCAGCATGTCCTGAGACACATTCCCAAAAGTTGCAATGACCTTCATCATGTTGAATGAACATAATATGTGGGGATCTCCTCTTATCCCTCAGTCCAGAATCATCTAAACCCCTTGCTTGCTTCCCGGTGGCTCCCTGCGCGCAGCGCACTCCAGTTTCCTTTTTCTTGCGACGCCCTGTGATCACTGGGCCTTGTCGGCCTGCTTTGCAAAGTGTCGCAAGGTGGCTTCAGATTGCTTTGAAATGGCAGAGTTGCTTCCTTCGGCTTGCCATGGGAGAAATCCACACGAGATAGCACTCGGCCATGTTCCATCTGGGGTGCTTGTAACCGGGGAGCATCCATGATCGGTTGGTACTGCGAAGCAACTGATATGATACCCGTTGTAGCCGCAGGCTTTTGGAGTTCCCAAGTAAACAAGGGCACACAATGCAAAACAACATGTTCATGTGCGTCCAAATTGTGTCAGTGACAAGAGTCCCAAAATTTCAAAAAAGCAGGCCTGACCACATGTCAGAGAAAACAACACTGAACATCTGTCAGGGAACCCTAAACGGATTCCAGAAACGGGTTCCGGCTTGCTCCAAGGCATAATCATGTGTAAAGCATCCGAGAACCTATTGCTTAGAGCCAACTTAGGGTCAACAAAATCTGGGGATAGCCAAAACTTTGGGCCTGTCTCCCAATCCCGTGCTCGATCTTTGGGTAGGGCAACATGTTGGACGGTGGCACAACGTGATACCAACACAAGTGCCCAAAGAGACCAATATGGCTCTGAGTTTGAATAAGCAACCACCTCAAAAGTCTTTGGTGCATATGTCTATCCGCATCTTAATGATGTCCATATGGCTCTGGGTTTTAGCAAGCAACCACCTCAAAAGTGTTTGGAGTGATGTCCACCAAAGGGTTCCCCATTCAAATTCACACCCAAATTGTTCGACGACCCCACAGATTTCTTCCGAACTCCAGGACCAAACTGCAAACCCTTTTGCCCTCAGAAAGGGATCTCACAGGGAATTCGAGCTCCACATGGTCAATCTCTTTGCCGATTGGATTACATGTCCATCCCATTTACCACGAACACACCAACGCAAAAACCAACCGCAAAATAGCTGGTTGCCTAAGTTTCCTGGAAAAACACCTATCCAGTAGTGAAATCGATTCCAGTTAAACCAACAGGGATCCTTACATTATACACCTGAACATTGCAACTTGTCAATGGTGGTTCCCCCTTATTTTGGTGTTGCAAAAGCCAGCCATG